GCTCCTCTGACTCCAGACAGAGCCTCAGCGTACAGCTCACATGCTCCTCTGACTCCAGACAGAGCCTCAGCGTACAGCTCACATGCTCCTCTGACTCCAGACAGAGCCTCAGCGTACAGCTCACATGCTCCTCTGACTCCAGACAGAGCCTCAGCGTACAGCTCAGCAGCTCCTCTGACTCCAGACAGAGCTTCAACGTACAGCTCACATGCTCCTCTGACTCCAGACAGAGCCTCAGCGTACAGCACACATGCTCCTCTGACTCCAGACAGAGCCTCAGCGTACAGCTCAGCAGCTCCTCGGACTCCAGACAGAGCCTCAGCGTACAGCACACATGCTCCTCTGACTCTGAACATAACTCACACAGGTCTATATGGCCTCACTGGCTGTTTTAGGTGTGTACACTGATGTTTATTGCAGTAAAAGCTCTGCTTTTTGATTCCTGCTTTTACTAAATGAGTGTACTGTGTTTGTAAAAACAATACTATATTGCTTTCATAAACACTAGTGCTTCCTCACTACAACATAAAGCTGTCAGATTTCTGAAACACTGTAACGGACCAAACTCCCTTTGCCCTTTACAGCGCTTCACACTCCGACCAGCAGCAGCAGCAGCAGAAGAAGAAGAAGAAGAAGAAGAAGAAGAAGAAGAAGAAGAAGAAGGCACCAAATGTGAAGTATATAGGAAATATAAAGGTGAGTGTGTGGACAGGTATTAGAGGACGTGCAGAGTTATTAGGTAACACTTTACAATAAGGTTCATTAGTTAACATTAACTAATAATGAACTGCACTTATACAGCGTTTGTTAATCTTTGTTAATGTTAATTTCAACATTTACTAACACATTATTAAAATCTAGCTAACATTAGTTAATGCACTGTGAACTAACATGAGCTAACAATGAACATCTGTATTTTTATTAACTAACATTAGTGAAGATTAGTAAATACAGTAACAAATGTATTGCTCATGGTTAGTTCATGTTAGTTTATACATTAACTAATGTTTAACTAATGAACCTTATTGTAAAGTGTTACCAGTTATTTTAGGTATATCAATATGAATATTAGCAGAGAAGGTGGAGGAACTCTAAGGAAAGTGTTTCTGATCCGATCACCAGCAGATGGCAGTAATGCACGGATAATGCGGAATACTAATACAAAGAAGAAGAAGAATTAGAAGGCGCCAAATTTCAAGGCAGTGGGCGGGGCTTGCGTTCCGTCAGTAATAACGAGCGCAGCTAGTGTTGTGTAAGCATAGCTAACGCTACTACAGCAGTACTATAAGTGTAGTGAGCTACAGCAGTACTATAAGTGTAGTGAGTGCGCTTCAGCGGAGCGGCGAGGATGTGGAGTAGCGTGGAGCTGCTCCTGAACGAGGAGACGAACACCGTGCGGCTGTACAGCGACGAGCAGGAGGCCGGCAGCGCGTTGTATCAGGTGGACTCTCTGGTCAAGCTCTCGTCCTCACAGAAGGTCAGCAGTGTTAGCGATAATAACATACCTTACTCTATTAGCGGGGTTTGGATCCGTGTGTGTTTGAAGTATCTTGTATGTCGATACGATATGAATATGAATATGGAAACCATTCTTTATCAGAGCGAATATGAACATGTTTGTAAATCACGCATTGCTAACACACACACACTCTCTCACTCACTCTCTCACACACACACACTCTCTCTCTCTCTCTCTCTCTCTCTCTCTCTCTCTCTCTCTCTCTCTCTCTCTCTCTCTCTCTCTCTCTCTCTCTCTCTCTCTCTCTCTCTCTCTCTCTCTCTCTCTCTCTCTCTCTCTCTCTCTCTCTCTCTCTCTCTCTCTCTCTCTCTCTCTCTCTCTCTCTCTCTCTCTCTCTCTCTCTCTCTCTCTCTCTCTCTCTCTCTCTCTCTCTCTCTCTCTCTCTCTCTCTCTCTCTCTCTCTCTCTCTCTCTCTCTCTCTCTCTCTCTCTCTCTCTCTCTCTCTCTCTCTCTCTCTCTCTCTCTCTCTCTCTCTCTCTCTCTCTCTCTCTCTCTCTCTCTCTCTCTCTCTCTCTCTCTCTCTCTCTCTCTCTCTCTCTCTCTCTCTCTCTCTCTCTCTCTCTCTCTCTCTCTCTCTCTCTCTCTCTCTCTCTCTCTCTCTCTCTCTCTCTCTCTCTCTCTCTCTCTCTCTCTCTCTCTCTCTCTCTCTCTCTCTCTCTCTCTCTCTCTCTCTCTCTCTCTCTCTCTCTCTCTCTCTCTCTCTCTCTCTCTCTCTCTCTCTCTCTCTCTCTCTCTCTCTCTCTCTCTCTCTCTCTCTCTCTCTCTCTCTCTCTCTCTCTCTCTCTCTCTCTCTCTCTCTCTCTCTCTCTCTCTCTCTCTCTCTCTCTCTCTCTCTCTCTCTCTCTCTCTCTCTCTCTCTCTCTCTCTCTCTCTCTCTCTCTCTCTCTCTCTCTCTCTCTCTCTCTCTCTCTCTCTCTCTCTCTCTCTCTCTCTCTCTCTCTCTCTCTCTCTCTCTCTCTCTCTCTCTCTCTCTCTCTCTCTCTCTCTCTCTCTCTCTCTCTCTCTCTCTCTCTCTCTCTCTCTCTCTCTCTCTCTCTCTCTCTCTCTCTCTCTCTCTCTCTCTCTCTCTCTCTCTCTCTCTCTCTCTCTCTCTCTCTCTCTCTCTCTCTCTCTCTCTCTCTCTCTCTCTCTCTCTCTCTCTCTCTCTCTCTCTCTCTCTCTCTCTCTCTCTCTCTCTCTCTCTCTCTCTCTCTCTCTCTCTCTCTCTCTCTCTCTCTCTCTCTCTCTCTCTCTCTCTCTCTCTCTCTCTCTCTCTCTCTCTCTCTCTCTCTCTCTCTCTCTCTCTCTCTCTCTCTCTCTCTCTCTCTCTCTCTCTCTCTCTCTCTCTCTCTCTCTCTCTCTCTCTCTCTCTCTCTCTCTCTCTCTCTCTCTCTCTCTCTCTCTCTCTCTCTCTCTCTCTCTCTCTCTCTCTCTCTCTCTCTCTCTCTCTCTCTCTCTCTCTCTCTCTCTCTCTCTCTCTCTCTCTCTCTCTCTCTCTCTCTCTCTCTCTCTCTCTCTCTCTCTCTCTCTCTCTCTCTCTCTCTCTCTCTCTCTCTCTCTCTCTCTCTCTCTCTCTCTCTCTCTCTCTCTCTCTCTCTCTCTCTCTCTCTCTCTCTCTCTCTCTCTCTCTCTCTCTCTCTCTCTCTCTCTCTCTCTCTCTCTCTCTCTCTCTCTCTCTCTCTCTCTCTCTCTCTCTCTCTCTCTCTCTCTCTCTCTCTCTCTCTCTCTCTCTCTCTCTCTCTCTCTCTCTCTCTCTCTCTCTCTCTCTCTCTCTCTCTCTCTCTCTCTCTCTCTCTCTCTCTCTCTCTCTCTCTCTCTCTCTCTCTCTCTCTCTCTCTCTCTCTCTCTCTCTCTCTCTCTCTCTCTCTCTCTCTCTCTCTCTCTCTCTCTCTCTCTCTCTCTCTCTCTCTCTCTCTCTCTCTCTCTCTCTCTCTCTCTCTCTCTCTCTCTCTCTCTCTCTCTCTCTCTCTCTCTCTCTCTCTCTCTCTCTCTCTCTCTCTCTCTCTCTCTCTCTCTCTCTCTCTCTCTCTCTCTCTCTCTCTCTCTCTCTCTCTCTCTCTCTCTCTCTCTCTCTCTCTCTCTCTCTCTCTCTCTCTCTCTCTCTCTCTCTCTCTCTCTCTCTCTCTCTCTCTCTCTCTCTCTCTCTCTCTCTCTCTCTCTCTCTCTCTCTCTCTCTCTCTCTCTCTCTCTCTCTCTCTCTCTCTCTCTCTCTCTCTCTCTCTCTCTCTCTCTCTCTCTCTCTCTCTCTCTCTCTCTCTCTCTCTCTCTCTCTCTCTCTCTCTCTCTCTCTCTCTCTCTCTCTCTCTCTCTCTCTCTCTCTCTCTCTCTCTCTCTCTCTCTCTCTCTCTCTCTCTCTCTCTCTCTCTCTCTCTCTCTCTCTCTCTCTCTCTCTCTCTCTCTCTCTCTCTCTCTCTCTCTCTCTCTCTCTCTCTCTCTCTCTCTCTCTCTCTCTCTCTCTCTCTCTCTCTCTCTCTCTCTCTCTCTCTCTCTCTCTCTCTCTCTCTCTCTCTCTCTCTCTCTCTCTCTCTCTCTCTCTCTCTCTCTCTCTCTCTCTCTCTCTCTCTCTCTCTCTCTCTCTCTCTCTCTCTCTCTCTCTCTCTCTCTCTCTCTCTCTCTCTCTCTCTCTCTCTCTCTCTCTCTCTCTCTCTCTCTCTCTCTCTCTCTCTCTCTCTCTCTCTCTCTCTCTCTCTCTCTCTCTCTCTCTCTCTCTCTCTCTCTCTCTCTCTCTCTCTCTCTCTCTCTCTCTCTCTCTCTCTCTCTCTCTCTCTCTCTCTCTCTCTCTCTCTCTCTCTCTCTCTCTCTCTCTCTCTCTCTCTCTCTCTCTCTCTCTCTCTCTCTCTCTCTCTCTCTCTCTCTCTCTCTCTCTCTCTCTCTCTCTCTCTCTCTCTCTCTCTCTCTCTCTCTCTCTCTCTCTCTCTCTCTCTCTCTCTCTCTCTCTCTCTCTCTCTCTCTCTCTCTCTCTCTCTCTCTCTCTCTCTCTCTCTCTCTCTCTCTCTCTCTCTCTCTCTCTCTCTCTCTCTCTCTCTCTCTCTCTCTCTCTCTCTCTCTCTCTCTCTCTCTCTCTCTCTCTCTCTCTCTCTCTCTCTCTCTCTCTCTCTCTCTCTCTCTCTCTCTCTCTCTCTCTCTCTCTCTCTCTCTCTCTCTCTCTCTCTCTCTCTCTCTCTCTCTCTCTCTCTCTCTCTCTCTCTCTCTCTCTCTCTCTCTCTCTCTCTCTCTCTCTCTCTCTCTCTCTCTCTCTCTCTCTCTCTCTCTCTCTCTCTCTCTCTCTCTCTCTCTCTCTCTCTCTCTCTCTCTCTCTCTCTCTCTCTCTCTCTCTCTCTCTCTCTCTCTCTCTCTCTCTCTCTCTCTCTCTCTCTCTCTCTCTCTCTCTCTCTCTCTCTCTCTCTCTCTCTCTCTCTCTCTCTCTCTCTCTCTCTCTCTCTCTCTCTCTCTCTCTCTCTCTCTCTCTCTCTCTCTCTCTCTCTCTCTCTCTCTCTCTCTCTCTCTCTCTCTCTCTCTCTCTCTCTCTCTCTCTCTCTCTCTCTCTCTCTCTCTCTCTCTCTCTCTCTCTCTCTCTCTCTCTCTCTCTCTCTCTCTCTCTCTCTCTCTCTCTCTCTCTCTCTCTCTCTCTCTCTCTCTCTCTCTCTCTCTCTCTCTCTCTCTCTCTCTCTCTCTCTCTCTCTCTCTCTCTCTCTCTCTCTCTCTCTCTCTCTCTCTCTCTCTCTCTCTCTCTCTCTCTCTCTCTCTCTCTCTCTCTCTCTCTCTCTCTCTCTCTCTCTCTCTCTCTCTCTCTCTCTCTCTCTCTCTCTCTCTCTCTCTCTCTCTCTCTCTCTCTCTCTCTCTCTCTCTCTCTCTCTCTCTCTCTCTCTCTCTCTCTCTCTCTCTCTCTCTCTCTCTCTCTCTCTCTCTCTCTCTCTCTCTCTCTCTCTCTCTCTCTCTCTCTCTCTCTCTCTCTCTCTCTCTCTCTCTCTCTCTCTCTCTCTCTCTCTCTCTCTCTCTCTCTCTCTCTCTCTCTCTCTCTCTCTCTCTCTCTCTCTCTCTCTCTCTCTCTCTCTCTCTCTCTCTCTCTCTCTCTCTCTCTCTCTCTCTCTCTCTCTCTCTCTCTCTCTCTCTCTCTCTCTCTCTCTCTCTCTCTCTCTCTCTCTCTCTCTCTCTCTCTCTCTCTCTCTCTCTCTCTCTCTCTCTCTCTCTCTCTCTCTCTCTCTCTCTCTCTCTCTCTCTCTCTCTCTCTCTCTCTCTCTCTCTCTCTCTCTCTCTCTCTCTCTCTCTCTCTCTCTCTCTCTCTCTCTCTCTCTCTCTCTCTCTCTCTCTCTCTCTCTCTCTCTCTCTCTCTCTCTCTCTCTCTCTCTCTCTCTCTCTCTCTCTCTCTCTCTCTCTCTCTCTCTCTCTCTCTCTCTCTCTCTCTCTCTCTCTCTCTCTCTCTCTCTCTCTCTCTCTCTCTCTCTCTCTCTCTCTCTCTCTCTCTCTCTCTCTCTCTCTCTCTCTCTCTCTCTCTCTCTCTCTCTCTCTCTCTCTCTCTCTCTCTCTCTCTCTCTCTCTCTCTCTCTCTCTCTCTCTCTCTCTCTCTCTCTCTCTCTCTCTCTCTCTCTCTCTCTCTCTCTCTCTCTCTCTCTCTCTCTCTCTCTCTCTCTCTCTCTCTCTCTCTCTCTCTCTCTCTCTCTCTCTCTCTCTCTCTCTCTCTCTCTCTCTCTCTCTCTCTCTCTCTCTCTCTCTCTCTCTCTCTCTCTCTCTCTCACTCACACACACACCCACACCCACACCCACTCACTCACTCACTCACTCACTCATACACACACACTCACACACACACACCCACACCCACTCACCCACACACACACACACCCACACACACACTCACTCACTCACACACACACCC